ATGTGGTGCTCTTTCTCTGGGGCATGGGTGCTCGAAGCTGCTGGGGTTTCATTCCTTCAGTCAATAAATATTCATAGTATCAGGCAGTCTGCTAGGCTGTGAGGATGTGACAAGTAAAAACTCATCTCTGTCTTTAAGAGGCAGAGAAAAGTGAACATATCATCAGCATGCATGCAGGGTGACTGACTCCTGCCGTAAGCCTCTGTCTAGTGCATGTAAAATACAAAGGATGGAGCGGCCATCTCCCAGGATGAATCAAGAAGAGCTTCACAGGGGGGCAACATGTGACATGAGATGCTTTCCAGGCAGAGGGAACAGCAAAGGTGCAGAGGCAGGAGATGGTCAGGCCATTTGAGAAATGCGTTAAGGTCGTGGTGAGAGACAGTGCAAATAAAACAGATGTTGGGAGGCCGAGACGGGCGGATCACGAGGTCAGGAGATCGAGACCATCCTGGCTAACACGGTGAAACCCTGTTTCTACTAAAAAATACAAAAAACTAGCCGGGCGAGGTGGCGGGCGCCTGTAGTCCCAGCTACTCGGGAGGCTGAGGCAGGAGAATGGCGTGAACCCGAGAGGCGGAGCTTGCAGTGAGCTGAGATCCGGCCACTGCACTCCAGCCTGGGTGGCAGAGCGAGACTCCGTCTCAAAAAAAATAAATAAAAAAAATAAAAAAAAAAATAAAACAGATGAATCGCGAAGGCCCAGTTCTGCCAGTCTCAGGTGTTGGGGCTTTTCTGGAAAGCAGTGAGGAGCCATCAGACATTTCCAAGCAGAGCAGAGGCATGGTGTGACTTTGTTTTAGAAAGAAATCCCAGGCTGCAGCAGTGTGAAAGGCACCTTGGAGATGGTGCTCGCACAGGAAGGCAGGGCAAGGATGCTGGCTTCTTGAAACCATGCACTTCTGCCATGCCTTTGGCACTTCTGACCAGTCTATCGGATAGAAACCAAATGATCTGCGTCTGTCCCATATGCTGTTGGGAATCCAGGAATAACCCGATACCCATGATGCTCATGCCTAGGAACAGGGGAAAGTAGACGATCTACTCACCAGGGCCTCAGGGTTGTCTCGACTCCACCTTGGATGGCTTTTGCTGCTTGACACACTTGCTGTGGTTTGCAGAGCCAACACTGGGGACAGGGCCAATTAGTGGCTTGAGCTAGGAAGTAAGTGGAAGGCGAATGGCTGCCATCTGCCACTCTCATTTCTCCTGTGGGTCCTCTGTGGCTATTCACCTGGCATCTTTGGTTAATCAATATTAAACCAGAGCCCTTGTCATATGTTCACTTTAAGAACTTGCATTGGTGAAGGAAGAAGGGAAGATGCCATTCCATTTCTTAATGCTTCCTAGCACAGTGCCTGGCACATGGTAGGTGCTCAATAAAGTGGCATGACCTCAGCCTTCCTAAAAATGTCTTTTAAACAAAGACAGTCCCAGAGTAGGAGGAATTGACGTGTTTTCAGCAACTGTTATATGCCCAGCATGGTCTGGGTACTTGGACATCCATTAACTCATTCCGTTCTCTTCCCAATGACCTGACGGATGGATATTGTTAACAATGAGGAACTGAAGCTCAGGGAGGTTAAGTAACTTTCCAAGGTCACACAGGTCTTACAGGGTAGAGCCAAGATTTAAACCCAGGTCACCTGGCTCCAGAGCCTACACACTTTGCACTTATTTTTGTTCTCACTTCAAGTGTTCTTCTGAGTTTTTGAAATATAGGAGGACTGGCCTCTCCTTCCTCTAACAAGAGCACCTATTTTTGGTGTACACCTTGTGATGCACCCCCACCCCCTCCCCCCATAAGATGGCTGGCTGATTACAGCCACCCTCTCAGGGGCCAGTGATTGCCACATTCTTGGTGAGAGGAGCATCGTGGGAACAGCTGCAGGTGGATCTGGAGCTGATGAGCAGCCTTGTGCCTGGCTCCCATCGCATTGCTGTGACAATGGCCCCCTCCCCACGGTGGGCAGTCCTCTGGCTTATAGATGAGGAAGCTGGTGCTCACCCAAGAAATTGACAGCAGAGCTGAGATTAAAACAGGGATCCCCCAATTCCCAGCCAGACCTCTGTCACTTAACCAGAGGCTTTTAAAGGAATGTTCAGAGGTCTAGGCTCATCTGTCTTTTAACAGAGCAGCTCCATCGTTATATTTCTCATATTAAAGTTTTGTCAGGGAGAAAACAAAGTGTGAAAACCACAACAGCCTTGGAATATGCTGCCTAGACTCTAACAAATGGCTCTTGAGTCTCTCCTGACATGCTCCCTTGTAAAGAAGCCTTTTGTTTCCTGCGGAAATCCTTGGTTAATTATTTTTAAATAAATAATTGCGTAGCCTTTGGTAGGGGAGAAGCCTCCCTGTGACCCATATTTGATCATCAGAGGGCTGGCCCTTTTCCGTCAGCCAAATTAAATAGGCTAAATCCAGAGACTGTTTGACTTGAGACTGAATCGATGATGGGGACAGGCTGGGAGGTGAAAACACACCTGACTCCCAGCGTTATCACCGCTCTCTCCGGAGCAGAGCCGCTCGGGGAGGTAAATAGCTGGTTAGGGAGTCAGAGAAAGCAGGAGAAAAACAGGGTGAAGTCCAGTTCCTCCAAAAGAACGGAGCAAGAGGGCAGCGGCCAGACCTCCCTCCTAAGTTGCTTCCAGGGCAAAGCATCAGTGGTTCTGCCAGGGTAGGATTCTTTGGAAACTCTTCTCTACGGAAAGATAATTCCATTCAGTGTTTAGAATCTGTCCTAAGCCATCCAGAATTCTAGGACCTTAGGGCAAATATCTTGGGGTCCATTCCTATACCAGCTTCCTCCCCACAGCATCCCCACCCATAGTTGCCATTTATATGGCATTTTGCAAGAAACCGTATAGATGTTACCTCTAATCCAAAAAGAGCCCTGTTGAGGATGCATTTTCTCCACTTTTCTAGAGGAAACAAAGGCACAGAGAGGGAAAGTAATTTTCCCATGATCACAGATCTATTAAGAGCAGCGTCAGAATTTGAACCCGAGTTGGTTTAGCTGCAGAGTCCATAGTCTTCCCACTGCCCTTCCTCGATAGAAATTCTTCCTTTTGTTTATTTGAAATCTACCTTCCTCTTTTCCATTGGACCTAGCTCTGCCTTCAGAGCTCATAAGGTTCAAATCTCTTTCTTCTTCTATGTGACAACACTTTGAACTGTTGGCAGCATCCTGCTGGGAACTGGGTGGCAAATGTGAGTGAAGAAAGAAGGCCTCATTTAATCCAATGGGATGGCATCAATGGCAAACAGGAGACGTGGGGGCTGCAAATAGATGCACAGGAGGACAGGGTACTGGGCACGGGCTGTTGACTTGGGGAGCTGGATGTTGTTCCTCCTTTTAACTTCATGATTTCTGTTCTTCCCCAAAAATGTAGTGCCTTAAACCAATACACCAATTCCAGCGCCATCCCACTGTCACCACCACCCCTACTAGCAGCTCCTTGATTCAAAGAATGGGGAAAATGGCCAATAGAAAAGCTCATAGAGCAAGCATCAAGCCACTACATACTCAGACAAGTTGCTCTTGAAGGTTAGAACCCAGCTTTAGCATTTGTTTTATTTTTTTCCCCAGCCCTCTTAAGTTCTAGGTCATATCAGCCTTGGGTAATGTCCTTAGGAAGATCCAAGGAAAACTGGCTTGGGGCTCATCTAGTCTCAACTTGGTAAGCTTCATCTTAGTGAATTAGAGGCAGATCACGACACGGATTATGGCAGTGTGCCTGGCCCCTGGAGGAACTTTGTAGCCTCCTCTGGAAGGTGGGGCTCTAGCTAGGGCAGGGGGTGGGTGGATGAAAGAGAACCAACAGAATCAGTATACAGGGATGGTTCATCTTGGGAAACTGGGCAAAGGAAGACGTGCAGCCAAAGAGTTGGTCCACTTCTCCAGATGATTCTATGCCTAGAGTATTTGGTCTCTGCAAGACAGGGTCCTCCAAACCTTTTTGTCAAATCCAAAGCAAAAAACAAGAACACTGTCTTTCTAAGCACTGAGCTTAGGGTGAGATGTCCCATGTAACCCCAACCTTGTCCTTGACTGTTTCATGGGCACATCAAGCAGGACTTCCATCTGCAAACTGGACCCAGGTTCTTGGCGTTCTTTGGCTTCCTTCAGTTGCCTGATCTCTGCCCAGTACTTTTCTTTCCTGAGAGCAGACCTCCATTTTGGTTCCCGAGCAAGAGGGAGGGTCAGAGCAGTGAGGCTGTAAACATGTTTGGTTCTACCCTTCCCTTGCAGAACAAACTCCAGTGGTTTACTAAGCATCCACATCTGCCTGTGTGTGCTGCCTGCCCCACCTCCCGGCAGACGCACCTTTCCCTGTGCCCTGGAAGGCAGCCAAATGGGACCCCACCAAAGGAATGTGAGTTCTACAGCCTAGCCCCTAGACGCAGCCTCATCCCTGTCCTGCTCTGCCTGTGTCCGTGCCCCTGACCTCTTGGGCCTGGCCACAAAGTGATACACAGAGACTGACGCCTAAGCTACGGCTCTTTCAAGGGTCACTGGACAAGGGCTTCTTCTTTGTCACATGGGTCTACTTATACTTTGCAGCGCCACGAGAGATGCCAGGGAAACAAACATTTCTAGAAGGCATTTTAAAGAATAAAAGAAATACTCCAGCCAGTAAGAGTATCCTAAAAGAACTATGCGGAAGCAATAACCAACAGAATCCATCCAGTCATTCATTTATTCATCAGAAGTTTACTGAGTGGCTAGTCAGTGCCAAGGCACTGGGGATACATCAGTGAACAAAACAAAAGGGATAAAAATGCCCTGCCCTCATGGAGCTTATATTCTAGAATTAAATAAAGAACATGCCATATTTACCCTGGAGAAAAACAGCCGATATTTCTTGTGGGTGGACAGGGAAGGAGAAGGCAACTTTATTTTCTTATTACCCACCCTTGAAAACGGGGTGCCGAGTCATTGTTCCAGGGCCCTGGTGGCACTAATGTTCCCTATTGGGTTTGTGTTGTTTTGCAGGAGTGCGCTACAGCCAGCAGGGAAGCAATGAGGTCACTTCCTCCTCAACAATCAGTCACCACGGCAACAGCGCCATGGTGACCAGCCAGTCGGTTTTACAGCAAGTCTCCCCAGCCAGCCTGGACCCAGGCCACAATCTCCTCTCACCTGATGGTAAAATGGTGAGTACACCTGGGCCATTGTAGCTCTGGAGCTGATAAGATAAGAGGCAAAACAAACACAACTTCTCACAAGGCCTGCCTCAAACAATGAAGCATTGTAGCCCCGCAGGGGAAAATGAGGGCTGTCCGGAGTTGGAAAGGAGAGGTAGTGCTGGTGACCTAGCCTTTGGCGGGTAGAAGAGGTGTTCGGTTTGAACCCAGCCAATAAATCTGACAGAGTTCTGCTCTCATTTTATTGATTGAATGCCTCATAAAGGAGCAAGCCCGGTGGGACACTGTTTGTTTCGGGGCTTGCCAATGACATTTGTGTTGATAAAATGTTCATTCATCCCTCCCCCCAAGGCCTCCAAAGCCAATTTTTTAACTTAGAGAGCACCTCACTTTGACACAAGCCCCCTCTTCCTCCTTACCATCCCCTTGGTACTCACAAGGAGAGTCATTAGCAAGTCAGGATGTAGTGGATAGGAGGCGATGGGGAGAAGCTTCTTGAACTGGAACGGCAAAAGACATGGGATGCCATGACAGCGAAGATCACAGTACAAATGGTAGATGGGGTGGGGCGACGCTTAGGGAGGGAGAAACACCAGCTTTGAAGTTACAATTGCCCAGGTTCAAATCTCAGCTCCAGCTCTTAATAGCTGTGCAGCCTGAGCAGATTACTCGATTACTTATGATCTCTTTTCCTCATCTATAAAATAGGGGCGGTAACAGTAGGCTCAGCAGGGGCATGAGCGTGATAACATATGAGAAATACTCTGCAGTGTTTGCCATAGGAAATAGTCAATCAACTGCAGTATTGTTGTTGTTGTCGTGTTAATGTCAATATCATTCTCATTAAATGAAGTTTTCTATATCTGTAACCACAGCCCCACATCCAGATGCAAGTTTAGCACACTTGGTGAAGAATGGACAATTTGAATTTGAATTTTCTACATCAAACTAGATTCTAGGCCAGGTGCAGTGGCTCACACCTGTAATTCCAGCACTTGGGGAGGCTGAGGCAGCTGGATCACTTGAGGCCAGAAAGTTTGAGACCGGCCTGGAAAACATGGTGAAACATCATCTCTATAAAAAAAAAATACAAAAATTAGCTGGGCGTGGTGGCACGCACCTGTAATCCCAGCTACTCGGGAGGCTGAGGTGGGAAGCTCACTTGAGCCTGGGAGGCAGAGGTTGCAGTGAGCCGAGTTCACGCCACTGCACTCCAGCCTGGGCAACAGAGTGTGACTCGGGTGTCTCAAAAAACAATAATTAATAATAATAATACAATAAATAAAACTAGGTTCTAATTAGGATTAGGTTCTGATCCTGTAGCAACACAAGTGCAGGAGAGTGGCTTATGGGAGAACAGGAGCATTACAACACGGCAAGGGTACAGAATGAAAAGCTCTATTCTTTGGGTCATGCTCTGTTTTTCAGGGGAGGGAGGAGCCGCGGGTTCCTGACTTTCATGCTGAAGGTGGAGCTGCACACATTCCCAGAGTGGGGGCCAGGATGGGTGAGGGCAACAGGGTGCAGAGGCCATTTTAGATCTTGACGTGTGTGCTGTGTAGGCAACACAGAAACGGTGGGTCACAGGTGATTGAGTCCCTGGCTCCCTGGAGGAAAAACAAAGTGTGGTTTCTGAGGGGAACGCTGACCCGGCCAATTCTGGTTTCGGAGGACCTGAGCTGCTCGCCCTGGTCGTGGTCTCTGAAAACAAAAATGAAAGGGCACTCCTGGGGAAGGCATTTTGCAGCCCCCTTCTCCTACTCCCACCTATCCCTTAAGAAAGATTCTTCTCCATATGAAGAACCACTTGTGTCAGTTACCTGTGAGAGGTACAGACAAGTCTTTCTGTCTTCTCAAGAGTGCCCCGAACAAGTTAGGGTTAAGGATTACCCAGGCTTCAGTGGAGAAGGGGGCCTTATGGAAGAGGTCTTGACTTCTCAGTGGGAAAAACCTTCCAGGTCTCAGCTCTTATTGCTTGAAGGTCCTTGGGGTTTCCTGTTGAGCTCTGCCACTCCTAAGAGGCAGGCTGCCTCACCCAGGCCAGGGCCGCTCTCAATGCAGCCTGCGGACACGCTTTTTGCTTCCTGTTCTGCTCGGCGGTGCTTTAACTGGGCAGTGTGTTACTGGATTGATGATTGACCAAGACTGCACACCTCAACGTTAGCAAACACCTGGAAGCTTGTTTGCGGGACTGGCTTTTCTCTTGTCTCCAAACACCCCAGTGCATGTGCTGTGTCACTATCATCAGAGGCCCAAATTCAAGAGTTTGTTTTCTTGTTAATATAATAACATGTCCATCACGGATCTTGGTCCACCAAGGCAAGAGTGGAGTATGGCTAAAAAGGAGTGCAGGCAAGGGAACCAGTATGTGCAAGTCTTGGCTCGGTCATTCACCAGCAGTAGGGTGGACAAATTGCTTAACCTCAGTTTCTTCATCTGTAAAATGGGGGATAATGATGCCTACGTCATAGGGTTGGTGTGAAGATGGCTTGCAGCACTGTTGTTCTTTGGGTCAGCCCTGTTCTAGGAATGACAGTCTCTGCATGCTGACTTTCAGTAGGACATGCCCTGAAATCTTTCCCCAAGGACTGGTTTTGGAAATAAAGTCAATCCATTTGAACTCTCTGTTGTACCGTCTGCCCCTACCCACCCCCATGCCCAAATGTCATGCGTTGACAAAAAACTGGCCAGGTTTAGGGTTATAGTCTGTGCATGTCGAACCTTTAAAAAAAAAAAAAGAAAGAAAGAAAGAAAAAAGAAAAACACATACTGGATACTTTCACAGTATCAAGCAGTATGTCCTGATGGTGAAAAGCTCAGGCAGGCCGTGGTGGCAGATAGCCTGCTTTCAACCCCAATTCTACCACTTGGGCACACTTCTTAACTTCTCTAAATTTCAGTATACTTATCTATGAAATAGGGATAATAATACCAACATTATAGACTATAGGTATGTAAAGAACCTAGCATAGTGAACAGACCATAAGTGACAGCATTCATATAATTCAGGCTCTCCAAATTACCATGTAAGGATCACCACTGATATCCTTAGCAGTGCCCTAGCTTCCATCAGTCCAGGAGCCAAATAGAAAGTAATGCTTGTAGCCGGGCACAGTGGTTCACACGTGTAATTCCACTACTTCGGGAGGTGACGAAAGATCATTGCTTGAGCCCAGGAGTTCAAGACCAGCTTGGGTAACACAGCAAGACCCTGTCTCTACAAAAAATTAAAAAATTAGCCGGGCATAGGCCGGGCGCGGTGGCTCACACCTGTAATCCCAGCACTTTGGGAGGCCGAGGCGGGCGGATCACAAGGTCAGGAGATCGAGACCACGGTGAAACCCCGTCTCTACTAAAAATACAAAAAATTAGCCAGGCGCGGTTGTGGGCGCCTGTAGTCCCAGCTACTCGGGAGGCTGAGGCAGGAGAATGGCGTGAACCCGGGAGGCGGAGCTTGCAGTGAGCCGAGATCGCGCCACTGCACTCCAGCCTGGGGGACAGAGCGAGACTCCGTCTCAAAAAAAAAAAAAAAAAAAATTAGCCGGGCACGGTGGTGCATGCCTGTTGTCCCAGCTCCTCCAGAGGTTGAGGTGACAGGATCGCTTAATTCCAGGAGTTCGAAGCTGTAGTGAGCTGTGATCGTGCCACTGCACTCCAGCCTTGGCGACAAAGTAAGACCCTGTCTCAAAAAAAAAAATAAAATAAAATAAAATAATGGTTGCATTTTAGAATGGGAAGTAACTTGATCAAGGTTGCCCAAACTTAGCATGTGGATAAGATTTAAACTCCAGCAAAACTGGATTTTAACTCTGGCTTTTTCACTTATGAGTCAAGTGACACAGAAATAGTCTCTTCTAAAGATCAGTTTCTTAATCTGCAGTATAGGGACTGATAGTAATAATGCCTGCCCTACTTGTGTCATTATCTATTAAGGACAATCAGTGAAAGCACTTTACAAATCCTAAAGCCACACACATTTAAATTATCTTTATCACCGGCTTCCACATTTCTCTTATACCATTAACCACATGCTGAAATGGCAGAGAAATTACTGTCACTTGGTTGACTTTCTCCAAAGGAACTACATTACCCAAGAGATTCAGTCTGAAGGCAGGTTACGGATTTTTTTTTTTTTAAAATGACTCTGACATTTTGAAAAACAAGTCCAGCAAACAGGCTGGTTCTCTCTTGTTTGATGTGGTCAGAATTCCTTCTTGGTCATGTGACCCCCTAACTCATTTCTTGATGCTTATTTTAAAAACACAAACAAACCTGTTTGGTTTTTTCTTTCTTTCTTTTTCAAATTAACCTTGGACGCTGTGGGGTTGACCAGAAGGGCAGGGTGGGAGATACCATCTTACCTGGGTGCTGGTGTGAGACCTATGGTCTGAAGAGCTCTGGGAAGTGAAAGATGGAAGAAGGAAAGTTGAGTTACTCAGACATCTGGTGTATCCTAACCCTAGAGCACCTCTCATGGTTCCTGACGCTCTCAAACATGCCTGGGTTCAGAATAAGAGGGGCCAGCCCTTTCTTAATAATAACTTTAAAAATTATTTTGGCCGGGCGCAGTGGCTCAAGCCTGTAATCCCAGCACTTTGGGAGGCCGAGATAGGCGGAATACGAGGTCAGGAGATCGAGACCATCCTGGCTAACATGGTGAAATCCTGTCTCTACTAAAAAATACAAAAAAACTAGCTGGGCGAGGTGGCGGGCGTCTGTGGTCCCAGCTACTCAGGAGGCTGAGGCAGGAGAATGGCGTAAACCCGGGAGGCGGAGCTTGCAGTGAGCTGAGATCTGGCCACTGCACTCCAGCCTGGGTGATAGAGCGAGACTCTGTCTCAAAAAAAAAGAAAAAAAAATTATTTTGAGGCTGGGCACAGTGGCTCCCGCCTGTAATCCCAGCACTTTGGGAGGCCGAGGTGGGCACATAACCTGAGGTCAGGAGTTCAAGACCAGCCTGGCCAACATAGTGAAATCCTGTCTCTACTAAAAATACGAAAATTAGCCAGGTGTGGTGGTGGGTGCCTGTAGTTCCAGCCACTCGGGAGACTGAGGCAGGAGAATTGCTTGAACCCGGGAGGCGGAGGTTGCAGTGAGCCGAGATCACGCCACTGCACTCCAGCCTAGGCAACAGAGCTGGACTCCACCTCAAAAAAAGAAAAAAATTATTTTGAAACTATAAGTAGGCCGGGCGCGGTGGCTCAAGCCTGTAATCCCAGCACTTTGGGAGGCCGAGACGGGCGGATCACGAGGTCAGGAGATCGAGACCATCCTGGCTAACACGGTGAAACCCCGTCTCTACTAAAAAATACAAAAAACTAGCCAGGCGAGGTGGCGGGCGCCTGTAGTCCCAGCTACTTGGGAGGCTGAGGCAGGAGAATGGCGGAAACCCGGGAGGCGGAGCTTGCAGTGAGCCGAGATCGCGCCACTGCACTCCAGCTTGGGTGACAGAGCCAGACTCCGTCTCAAAAAAAAAAAAAAAAAAAAAAAGAAACTATAAGTAGTAAACTGATTTATCATGGAAAAAGTGTAGGGGTGTATAAAACTGATGGTGCCCTTATAATTACAACTAGAGTTAATGGGAAAACATTGGAAACATTTCTGATAACATCAGAAACAAGCACATCTGTTACAGCTGTTATCGTTTAATACTATAAGTTCTAAGCAATGCAATAGGACATGTAGACATATCTGTACTAGCAAGGAAAAGACTCTGTTACCATCAGATGCTTGTATTACAATTACATACTTGGAAAAAAATCAATGAGGAAAAGACACTAGTAAGTTTTAATGAAGTGGTCATGTACAAAGTAAATACACAAAAATCAGTAGCTTTCTCATACTAATCTGTCATTAAAATATAATGGCGATTACAATATAGGATCCTTGACCAAAAAAGAAATAAAAAATTTTGTAATGTGTACTGGAGATATGGAAAAAGTAGAGAAACCTTATAATGGCTAGTGTCCTTCAACCTTTAGTAATTTCTGAAGCTGGCTAGTAACTCAGACAGTCAACAACAAATGCACCATGAGGGCAGGGATCATTGTCTGTTTTACTTACTGCTGTATCCCCAGCACCTAGAACAGTGTCTTCCCACAGTAGACACTTAATAATTGTGTTTTTTTCCTTTTTTGTAGAGATGGGATTTCACCATGTTGCCCAGGCTGGTCTTGAACTCCTGAGCTCAGCCAGTCCTCCTGCCTTGTCCTCCCAAAGTGCTGGGATTACAGGCGTGAACCACCGCACCCACCCAATAATTGTTATTGAGTGAATGAAGGAATGAATTTCAGAACTAGCCATGCCAAGGAATCGCTAAGTCACATCATGTTGTAAACTGCTCTTTGTGGTCCAAGACCACCCATGTTTCTCTTGTTTTTTTCTCTCCATCAGATCTCAGTCTCGGGAGGAGGTTTGCCCCCAGTCAGCACCTTGACGAATATCCACAGCCTCTCCCACCATAACCCCCAGCAATCTCAAAACCTCATCATGACACCCCTCTCTGGAGTCATGGCAATTGCACAAAGTAAGTTCTATTCTTGGTCAGAAAACTTGGGGGCGGGGAGAAGAATGGGAAGCAAATTAGTGCGGTGGAAAATAACTGTAGGTCTCTTTCAAACTCACCCACACTTGTAGATTTGGTTTAACTTCTTTAGCTTCTGATCGGTCTCCTTAAATCCAATATTTGGATTGTTTAGCCTAAAACAAGAGAAAATTATGGAATGGATTTGTATCCTGGTCACAGTTCAGCAGCTGTGCATTCTTGGTCAAATCATTGAACCTTTAGGAGATTCAATGTCCTCATCTACAAAATAGGTTGTTGAAGTGATCAAATGACAGTGAATATGAACATGCTTGTAAATCTCTAAAGCATGAATATGTATAACATGGTAGCTTACACTTTGTCTTGAGTTCATTCCTGTCACTAAGTAGGTGGTAGATTTTTCAGGAGGTTCTTTATGTTTGGTGATGATGAAGTAAGAATGACAGGTTTCCTTCTAAATGGGGAATTTTGTGTGGTATATGAAATCTCCTTGACCAGCAGTGAAAATACACCGAGGGAGGACCCAGAAGGAAACTGCCATTGTATCTGAGAGCTTTGAAAACTTTAAGGAGAAATAGATTGCTTTGGGACATCACATGCCTGAAGACACAGAGATGGATCAGGTCCCTCCAGCTCCAGGAGGCTCATATTCAACAGCAAGCCTGTGCCCTCCCATACATAGGCCATCTCGAGGCATGAGAAGGCTGAAGGGAACTGTGGTTGTGGATGTCTCTTTGAGAGTTTTAATGTTGATGAGTATTCAGCATATTTTCAGCTTCACCATGACAGCTCAGGCCAAGTCATTGTTTCTCAAAACCATCCTTGTGACCCTTGGATGTATTACTGGATGTCTTGGGAGAGATGTAAGGGCAGCACATGGGTCATCTTTCTTTCAACCTTGTATCGCTCCATTGTCCTCTTGACCTTCCTTGTGTCTAGGGCCCATGTTGGCCATCTCTTTGTTTCTGCCTTTTTCTTCCTTCCCTCTTCTCTCCCTAAATCAGCTCTAGCTAGGGTCGGAACTTGGATTCTCACTTCTGAAGAGAATGACTTACGCATCCTTTGAGGTCAGAACAGGGCTAGGCCCATTGGAGCACACAAATTTATTGAATATGTGTGGCTCTCACTCTATCCTTAGCTGCTTGGAAATTGACACACAGTGCATTTATTTTGGCAGAAGGAAAATGGGACTGGGGAAGCATTTGGAGAACTCATAATATAAATGATCATTTTAAATGTACTGCCTTTTGACTGGGCCCTCTGGTATATGGAATATGGTAATTATACTAACACCAGAGTTTGGAATGAGATAAGATACCTAAAACCAGCTTGTTTGCCATTTAGAAGATTTGATTAAAAGACCCGTGGAGAAGATATTCCACTTATTTCTGCAATCAAAATAATAAACAAACTGTCCCACTTAACTTATTTCTTCCATTCTAAGCTTTCACTGCCATACAGTTATATATATATATATATATATATATATATATATATATACACACACACACTATCTGAATTAAAATTTTCCCTGGGGCTAGTCTTTATCTTTCCATTTTACACTTTCTAATTTCCTCTACTCATATTTCTCTATTATCTCACAATGCTCCTTAATTTCCTATTCAGATAGGCTACACCAAAGTGCACACTGACCTTAGAAGGATAGCTGTGTGTGTACATATCTGCGTACACTGGGGTAGACAGAGCATGAGGAATGGTGAGAATCACCAGAAAACTGCTGAGACACAGAGGTCCTACACTACGGAGTGTCAGGACAAGGAACTGGTTGCAGGCATCCTTATTTAACTGACTGAGGTGTTGAGTACCACAGGCCCTGCCTCGGAATTGCAGAAGCCCGTGGAGAAGGTGGTAACAAATTATGTGGCAGGGCCAATTCCTCACTCTCTACTCATTCTCACCTCTTCATCCTATTCTCTTCCTCCTCTCTTCCATGGACTGGATAGCAGACTTCCCAAGCAAGAACCAGTGCCCAGAAACAGAAACAGATGAAAAGGTCAAGACTTACCCACTGAGGGAGCTGGAATGACATCAGAGGCTCTCAATCCTGGAATTGAGGCACATTAGGATCACAGACTGCATTGAAAATAAGGTTCCTGGGCCCCACCTCTGAAAGTTCTGACTCATTAGGTCTTGGGTGGGGCCCAGGAATGTATATTTGTTAAAGAGCTCCCCCAGATGATTTCTGAAGCACATGCAGGTTTCAGAACTATGCCTTCAAATGTCATCCGCTCTAGACAGGATCATTTGCTTTTCTGGGCAGCAGTTTCCCAAAAAGAGCAGCAGCAGTGCTCCCAGAGATTTCTCACAAACAGCAAATCCATGGGGCCTCCTGGGAGACTGAGACCATAAGCAGGAGGTAGGACAGGGAAGCACAGTAATCAGGGTATCTGGTGAGATGCTGGCTTGAGGAGACGCTGAGCCCCCTGGGGAACTGGAGACAGTGCTGTTCTGAGGGTGATCAGAGTGTCGCACCCCCCAGCCCCCACCCAGGAGAGCCAGAAGCAGGATTATCCCCCTGTCCTTTCTGCTCAGGGCTCTCGCCTTTTAGGTTTCTGATAACAGTATCAGCGAAAGCTCTGAGGAGGCAATTGTTGAGGACTCTGTGTTATCTCCATTGATGACTTCCCACAAACCTGCTTATGAAACCGCCTCCATTTCAGGAAAGCCTCTCTAGGTGTCCCTTCCGCAACCACCTAAAACAGACCTTTTTCTGGATTCCTTCTTCATCCCATTCTTTCCCCAATTTCCCGGAAAGCAAGAACACACGAACACAGTCGGCCCCAGGAAGTAGGTCCAGGTGTCTTCTCTCCTGATCGTCCTGTCCCCACTCCAATCCTACCTTAGCTGTCTTCCTCCGGGTCGCTCTTAGGGAGGAGATAGACCGTGGGTACCAGGGGATCCAGTCCTCCCAGTTCTGGCCCGGGTTCTAAAGAGGCCTCAGGATACAGACACAGTTCCAAGTCACAGAGGCCCTGACATCCCCAGAGCAGAAAGATGGGAAGACCCGCTATGACTGCCACGAGACAACCTTTAATGTACTACTTCCTCTTTCTAAAACCTGGTCCTAGGCCGGGCGCGGTGGCTCAAGCCTGTAATCCCAGCACTTTGGGAGGCCGAGGCGGGCGGATCACAAGGTCAGGAGATCGAGACCACAGTGAAACCCCGTCTCTACTAAAAATACAAAAAATTAGCCGGGCGCGGTTGTGGGCGCCTGTAGTCCCAGCTACTCAGGAGGCTGAGGCAGGAGAATGGCGGGAACCCAGGAGGCGGAGCTTGCAGTGAGCCGAGATCGCGCCACTGCACTCCAGCCTGGGCAACAGCGTGAGACTCCGTCTCAAAAAAAAAAAAAATAATAAAATAAAATAAAATAAAATAAAACCTGGTCCTTTCAGTGCCACAAGCCCTATGCTGCCAGATAAGATATGCCCACTTCATAGACTGGCTGAGTTCCAGGGTTTTCTCCCGTCTCTGTTACAATCAAGGGAGTTGGCACCTGACATCTCTCGGGGTCTTTGCACAGTCTACTAAATAAGGGTCTCCAGACTTCACCCTCCCGGGACTATGGAAGTTGTTTTTGATCAAAATTTGGGTCCCTGCACACTCCTGCCCTCTACTGGACAGACGGATCTGGGCAATAACCTGTGCGTCCGTGTAGACATCTTTAACTCTGCCCTGCAGGCACCAGGGCAAGCCTCTCTCACAGCCTGGCATGGATGGAGTGGGCAAGCAGAGCCAGCTTTTCCAAAGCCCTGCTAACCTCAAGAGAGCTAAGTTTGGGAGGTCACAGGATGACTTCGGGAGACTCTCAGGCTTTAGTCAGATCTGTTTAATGCCGGTCTCCAACCCACAACTCACTGTGGAATTTGAGCAAGTACATTCATCTCTCCAAGTCTCCATTTCTTTAAACTCGCCTCCCATGCAATCTCCTATGTAACAGGCTCAGCCCAGTGACTGGGACATTGAGCAGGGGCTCAAATGATGACATCCATTCACCTCTTCTCATCCCAAGAGCTGTCTCTGATGTTTTCCTCTTGCTCCCACAGGCCTCAACACCTCCCAAGCACAGAGTGTCCCTGTCATCAACAGTGTGGCCGGCAGCCTGGCAGCCCTGCAGCCCGTCCAGTTCTCCCAGCAGCTGCACAGCCCTCACCAGCAGCCCCTCATGCAGCAGAGCCCAGGCAGCCACATGGCCCAGCAGCCCTTTATGGCAGCTGTGACTCAACTGCAGAACTCACACAGTAAGGACACGGGCATGTGGAGGGAGGGAGCACTGAGGACCCTCAGTGGCCAACCACTTTCCCTCTCTGGGTCTGAACTTTCTCAGAAGTTTATTGGCTTGGTCGCTTTTCCCTGCCTGTGATCAACCGACCAAGACAGTTTCTCAAGCGTAATTCGTGTGTGTTGCTGTACCTTTTCTAGTCCTCTCCTCTACCCTTGAGATTCCCAGGGAAAGGTCTGAAGAGGACCTACAGATGTAGTGTAGGCCTACAGATGAAGGGGAGTTGGAGCCAGACAGCATGTGGAACACGCACCGCCAACTTCCCATTCCAACACCTCTGGAAAAGATCACACCCAGAAACCACCAGCACCTTTTCCCAGTGAACCTCAACTTAGCCTTTGCAATCCAAACTTCCAAGCAGCCATTATCAGATGGTCAGAGTTGGCATCTAATTTGCATCCCGTTTGCCTTCCCTAAAATAGAAGAATCTTCTAGAGTCCTGTGTCCTCCTATTTATACGCCACAAACACCTCTAATCAAGAACCAGGAACACAAGTGAAAAATACCAGTGGCATGCCGTCCTGGGCATTAGAGTTTCTTCCTCCCTGCCAGCCTTGCATCCCTGCACACAGACTTTTTCTCATATCCAATTTCTATACCTACCCCAAGCCTACCTTTCGACCACTTATTTCCCAGCCAATCTCTGCCTTTCGTCCTGAGTCCCAGGCTTCCAATCCTCTGG